ACGTACTACGGACCGTACGTTACGTACCGTCGACCCTACGACAGCCTCGAGTAGTAGTTGTAGTACGTAGGTAGGTACTAAAATAATAAATAAAAATATATATATATATATATATATATATATATATATATATATAGGTGTAGTTTGTATAGAGCCGAGGATCTAAATAATCAAAATAAAGCACACTTTTAAATAATATTGAAAAATATGGTTTCAATACTAAAAATCTTTGTGATATTTTTAAAATATATTTTTATACATAATTATAAAATTTAAAGCTTAAAAAATAATCTAGATTGAGCATATCTATGAAAACTTAAAAATCTTGAAAATTGACAATCTAAAAATGTGTCACAAGATGCACTATTTTCAAAAGTTGAAATCTATTTTTTTGTCATGTCCATACATTTTGATGTCGAGACCATCAATTTGAGGATATTTGAGCATCAAAACAACCTCTTTTGGAGAAATTTTTGAGATGGGCTCTAATTTGATTGTTTAGAGCCTCGGCTCTATATAAACTTTTCCATATATATATAAAGCAAGATTAAGCAAAACACTTCAAAATGATCTTAAAAAAAATAGTAAAAAAATATGTTTTAACAAATCAATTTGATTGGGGGTATGAAATGGACAAGATTTCTATGAGTCCATATAGAAATTAGCCTCCACTTAAAAATCTATTTTTGAGATGGATTTTTGGACTTAATTTTAAAGACATGTAATTTCTAACATGGAGATCATGAATATGAAAAACAAATAAATTTTAAAAATTAGAAATAATAATTTTATGAGAAATGATCTTATAAGACCCTCTCCCACTTATGTGTATAGGACCCCAAATGATCGTCAATAAATTTGACACAAATTTCTAAAAAAGTCAAGTTTCATACCCATGTGATAACTTTTCTAGATATCCGTGTTAAATTTAATGGTGATCATTTGGGATCCTACACACATGAGTAGGGGAAGGTCCTATAGGATCCTTAATCTAATTTTATTTAGCAAACATTTCGAGTGTTAGTTTTTAATTGTTTTTAGATGGACCACCTATTTGCATCCATCTTTAAAATGGATGATTTATACTTTGGGATTGCATATTGTAGACATGCGGTCCAATCCTTATAAAACATTTTCCTTTTGAAATAATCCAAAAAAAATGAAAAAAAAAAAAAAATATTTATGCTCAAAGCACTTTCTGATCTTTGCCAAAATGATAGATAATATAAAAAAACATGTCACAAATAAATTCATCACTTTTAGGATTTTTATATTTTTTTGAATTTTTTTTTATATCCTTCCGTTGGACACCTAACTTATAATGATTTAGGCTTGGCAAGGGCCCGACTTTGAATATCTCAATATTCACTTTCAAGGTTTTAACATCCATTCTCACAGATAGGTTAAAAAATTAATTTAATTGGGTAGAGGCTTGTCATCCCTACTGACTTATCTAAAAGAAATAAATAACCAAATGAAAATAAAAATCAACTATTCCATGATTCTAAAATTTATTTTAATTTATAAGGAAGAATATCCCTCGGCGCACACTCATTCTCAATCGATAACTTCTACATAAAAAATTGATGATTCTAATTTCCGGTGTCTGGCAATTGCACTGAGCATTACCACTTTTGGTTATTGAGTGCACGGGCACTAGTCTTAGTCAATACCCTGACCATGTCAAACATAAGAGCCCGCGACTCCCTTGGATGAAAGCTACTTGTGAGAATTTTCTAATCTGAAAATTTGAATCCACCTAATAAGATTTATCGGATAATTATACTAAAAAAAGAAAAAAAGGAATTGAATTTTGAGCTCTTTGACACTTACATCTCACTTTTCGGAAATTAGATGGTTTTTTGTTATTATTATTTGGGAAATTTTTATATGTTCCCCTTACAACATAGAAGTACTATCCTTCCCCTACCATCCAGCCGTCCATTTCTTATCAAGAGAGCCACTCATCGTTTGATCTTAGATCCGACGTCTCAAAGTATTTTATTTTTAATTTTTTTTAATACAATTTTTCTGAATATGAAATTTGGTACGTGACATATTCTCATTGGGGTGCACCTATAAAAAATATTAACAATAATTTTTCGATAAAATATAATGACCAACATACCCCTTGAAACTTTCAAGAATATTTTGGTAATTTTATTTTATTAAAAATATTTTTTTTATATTTTTCATTAGTGCGAGTTTAGTAGAGGAATGGATGTCCAAAATTTGGTGTCAAAACAATTTATAGAAAAAATAAATAAAAAGTAAAACAGTGTAGAGACGTTACATTATGATTGGGGCAATCTTAGCCCTCCATTAACAAATTGACAGTTGGATAAGGAGGAGGATAGAACTTTTATGTTGTACGGGGAAAATAGAAAGCTTTCCCTTATTATTTTTGGGTAAATAATTAGATGGCCTTTTGTTCATTCTTAAGACGTTATTTTCACATACATAATGTGATTTGAGTTTTTTTTTATTTTTTTGGTAGGTTGAAGACATTACATCCCCATAAGTTTGAGTCCTAAAAACACTCATTGATTGAATTTTAGCTAAAGGAGAAAATAGATAGTATGCCCATGCGGGAGCACGAAATCTTTGGCAACTTAAACATGTGTTTGGATTTGTATAATTGGACCTTGTTATGACTAGACCGATGGCCGGACCGGTGAGGCATGGGTGCTCTCAGACTAGTCGGTCTAGACCATTCATGGGTTAGATTATTGACTAAATAAAAAAAAAAAAAGAGGAGAAAAGCTGTACACTCCTAAGCTATAACGGCGAAAAAACCCAAAAAAATGACTTTTTGTAAATTAAAACGTCTTAGTTCAAACTAACCGGTTTTGCTGATGGACAAGTGGACCGGCTAGTCCATCAATCCCTCACCAATTAGCTAGATCATCTAATCTAGGGTAGTGGACTGGACTGAAAAGGCTACCGATTCACCAATTTTCAGCTTGAACCGATTATCTTGTCCGGACTCTAACATCATTGCCTTGTTCTAGTTCAACTGACGCCTGTATGATTCAGACACACAAGTCCATGGTTCATAAACGTTTGACACACTATAACCACATCATGCATATCAAAGTTGGACACACAAGGCCATGGTTCATGAAACCTTTGACACACTATGGACACATGATGCCTATCCACATATCAATAAAGTGAATGATGATTTCAATGCAACTAGCGAAATTCGCATAATCCTCCTCCATCATCACAAGTGTATGCTTGAATCTTTGGAGCAAAGCCCTCATCTCAGCTTCGTTTGCAGTTCGTCGACCCAATAGTCGAAAATATTTCAGTAATACATTTCCCGCCACAATCTCTAATGTTCTTTTAATGGAAATATCCATACAATGATTCTAAGATGGAGCCAAAGATTTCATATCGAACAATCCTCCCAAGTAGGTCTTACTCCCAAGGATGTACGTATACTATATCCTCCTATAAGGGTATATTATACGTTATATTTTTTTTTTGTAGAGCAACTTATCAACCCGCACCTAAAACATCGGCTATCGAATATTTCAATTATTATCAAATTGTTCTTAAAATATCAATTATTTTAACTCTAGCACAATGTTGTCTTTCTATCATGTAAATTGAAGATGAAAAAAGAAGAAGAAGAAAAAGAACTAAAACGGGATGAGATCCATTCATCTCTTTGTGATTTTCAATGATTTTTCTTTTATTATATTAATAATTTTTTGCCTCAAAATGTTGCTTTAATTGGGCGTGAGAGTACCAACAAATTAAGCCGCGACGTCGACATCTCATTGGGGTGCGTAGTTTCACGTTCTTTTTTAACACAAATAAACTATGTGTTAACAACAGTCGTCTGGGTGGTGTAGTTGGTTATCACGCTAGTCTCACACACTAGAGGTCCCCGGTTCGAACCCGGGCTCAGACATAATACATAATTTTTTTATTAATTCAAGGGCTGATAATTTTAATTAATTAATTAATTTATTTATTATTATTTTATTAATTCAAGCGCTTGATAATTTTAATTTTTATTAATTCAAGGGCTGATAATTTTAATTAATTAATTATTATCATTATTATTTTATTCGAACCCTAGCTCAAGCATTATCAATAATTTTTTATTAATTCAAGGGCTGATAATTTTAATTAATTTATTATTATTATTATTTTATTAATTCAAGGGCTGATAAAATTTTTATTAATTCAGGGCTCATTCATCGTCTTTTTAACAATCAATAATTAATTCAAGGGCTCATTCAAACAATCGCTAATTTTTTATTAATTCAGGGGCTCATACATCGTCACATCATCAATAATTTTTTTATTAATTCAAGGGCTGATACATCGTCTCATCATCAATAATGTTTTTATTAATTCAGGGGCTCATACATCGTATTTTTAACAATCGACACGCATGCATGTTGATACATATTTTATTTTTCTATTTTCATCTTTTTTTGTTAAGTTCATGTAAGAAGTTTTTAGCTTCAAAATTAGAATGCTTGTAACCTCAATTATGAAAGGGAATTCGTGTGGAAAACGAAGTTTCCTTACAAAACTAAAAACCTAAAAGATAAGCCATTGTTCAAAATATTATTTTGAAAAAAATCAAAATGGCTTTGTTGGAAAGCTAAGGTAATTTCAAAAAAGAAAAAGTTTATATAAGTTGAGGGCACCTAAAAAATTTATTAGAAGTATGTCAAAAAATTATGAAATCTGATCATCTCGACCTTGAGATACATGGACGGAAAAAAGTTGGAATTCAAGACTTGGAAATAATGCATCTTATAATGCATTATCTAGACTGTCAATTTTCAAGATTTTTAAGTATTAATAGATATGCTTAATCTACAATATTTTTGAAGTTTTAAATTCTATAATTAGATATGAAAATGAATTTTCAGGTCATCTTAGTTTTGATGCTAAAGTGACATCTTTTGATACTATTTAAAGGTGTGCCTTACTTTGATTGTTATGACTTAGCCTTATACAAACCACATCCATTTAAAAAACGGTGTGTGTTTCAATGGCTGCAATTTTAAACAATGAAATAAATTCCCAAAAAAAACTATGTTATCACTCTAGATATAAAATGCTACTCTCGTCCATTGAAAGCTCACTATTTTAGTGCATGAAATAGGAGAGACCAGGGTTTAAAAAAACGCCGAGTCAAGCCGGACTCGTCCGGTTCGACTCGGGAATCGCCACAAAACAAGCCGGTTCCACTCTAGATATAAAAAGCTACTCTCGTGCATTGAAAGTTCACTATTTTAGTGCATGAAATAGGAGAGACCAGGGTTTAAAAAAACGTCGAGTCGAGCCAGACTCACTCTGTTCGACTCGGGAATCACCACAGAACGAGCCGATTCCACACATAAACAGGAACCACCCGGCGGTTCTGACGTCACCACTCCGACACGGACACGTGCGACAAGCGGACACGTGTGCCAAAATCACGTACCACATACTACGTGTGAAGTTGCCCCAATGTTTCCGCATGTACACCTTACTTCATATTACATAGGTATTTATATAGCAAAGTTGAATACACATCTTTTCATGTGGGATAATTCCCAAACATCATAAAATGAAAAATGAATGTAAATATATTCTATTAATCAGCAATTAATAATCACATCTGGCGAGATGGCGTGATGATTATGACCTCTGATTTTGGCTTTGATGTTCCAAGGTCGAATCCCCTTGGGCGTTGTATAGTAGTTTTTGTTGTATATAGTGGTATAAATATTTTTGTAAATAATATAAAAGGCATAAAAAATAGAAAAAAAAGGGTTAATTTTTTGTATAGCAGTTAATTTTTGTTGTATATAGTGGTATAATTATTTTTGTAAATAATATGAAAGGCATAAAAAAATAAAAAATAAAAAGTTTATTTTATTTGAAATCTCCCTCTTTCTTCTAACAATCTCTTTCACTAAATTTATTATAGAAACCTAAAAAATTAAATTTTTGAAAAATTGAAGTGTTATTTCCAAAATTTGTATGCATTTTATTAATCTTTACATTGATAACCAAATATTTTATTTGATTTGTTAATTTTTACATTATAAATCATGTAATGTACTATTTTTCTTACAGTTGTCAATAATACATTTTAAATTAGATAATATTATAAAATATTTTTAATTTATTATTATTTGTCTAATAAAATAATTATAAAATGTAAACTAATAATCATAATTTCAGTATATAATATTATAATTAGTTAAGTTGTAATAATTTTGGATTATAGTTAGTTTGACTGTAATAATTTAGGTTTTTTTAGCAGATTAGGGTTTTTTTCCAAAACGAGATTTTAACGGCCATTCTTTCATTGATTTAGTCTACTCTTTATTATAGTCCATGTATAATTATATATTTTATCCATGATAATTCTATGATTTTTCTTTTATGTGATGCAAATTTAATACTTAAGTTTATACAGAGAAATAGCATATCAATATTCACAAATTAATGAAAAAAATGAAAGTTAATAATGTAGTACCTTCATTTCTTATTGGATTCCTAAAAAACAACATTTATAATGAATTTTAATAATTTTTTCGGATTTTTTTGAAGCATTAATCCAACTGATTCAGCCCATTCTCGATCCGGATGGCCAATTCGCAGATCCAAATCGGTTTTTGAGGTGCCCAATCCCACCGATATGCTTTTTAAACTATTGGGAGAGACACCTAACGATTTAGAATTTGAACACTCATGCTTTGACGAAGTCTGACCATGTATTTTTATTATGGCAGTATCTTTTCATTCTTTCTCCTTTTCTATCTTTGTAGGATGTGGTATCTTAGAGTTCATCAATAGGATATTTGTAGTTTTTTTTGTGGCTTTTTTTTTTATTGAATTTGGATGTGTTTTTACATTCCGTGCCTTCCAATCATCAAGTTTCCCATTATTTGTAAATATTTTCTAAAAATAATGTATACCATGAAACCATTTACCTTTCAAATAAAGTGTTCACAAACTTGACCCCAATCTCGATGATCTCTAAAGATCTAGGGCTGCCAATTTTGTGACCAACTTGTTTGAAAGGTAAATGATCTTACAAATATTTAGAGATAGAAACAAGAAATTAGAAACCCGTGCTTTCAAATCCTCAAGTCTCCTATTATTTCTAAATATTTTTTTTAAACACCACCAAATATAATTCTATCTCATTATCCCCTTCAATTACAACTGATCTTCTTTCAAGGGCCTCTCTCTTTCTTTCTTTTTTTTTTTTTGTATATTTATCCAATATTTTAAATTAAAAATAAAAAATATTTTTTGGCCTTTAGATGAGACTAGGTTCCATTTGAACCTTTAAAAGGTGCTCGTGGACCTTTTTATACCAACCCAAAAAAAAAAAACACCAAACATGAGGTATATCCCGACGGATCAAATCCACAAAATAGTCTGGCGGGAGCAGCAAATCATTGCACATTTAAAGTTTTTAAAGCTCTCCTAGACTCTAGGTCCTGTATTCTCCGTTAGAGAAATCTCTTTTCCAAATCTTAAAGTTAGAGAAATCTCTTTTCCAAATCTTAAAGATGGATGCTAGTAGGATTTCCATTTAAAAACAATGGAAGTTAAGGGTCCAAATATTTTTTTATTAAAATTATTATTTTTATTTTTAAAATTTATTTATTTTCTCATATTGATGTTCTTTATGAATTAAGTCCAAAAATCCATTAGATTTATTAATAAGCCCGCATTTCTACATGTGCGGGCATGATTGCATAAAAACGGGGTCCAAAGTTTATTTATTTAACCAGAAAAATAAAATCTAAATAAAGCAGAAAACTACTTGTCTTCACTAACAACATTGAGAAAAATTCCGTGGGTTATCTTTCTACAAACCAGCAGCAGATTCAATCTAGGTTCCTACATAATTTGCTGTTAAAATGAAGTAGAATTAATCCAATAACTTTAATAAGCATAAATACTTATATTAGGAAAGCGGCATAATAATCACAAAATCATGATTGTTTTATCACCTGTTAGACTGATTTTGCTAATGAAAAATGCAGCAGTGAAAAACACAGAATTTGATCAAAATAAATGTTAATTTGGCTACTTAAATTCACTGAAAATCCATAAAAAAAAATTCTAGTTCTTCAAAATTCACAATATTAAGTTTCAAATAGCCAAAAAGAAAGATAAAATAAACTTCCGAAGACTCCAAGTCCTATATTTTCCACACTTTTCCATTTAACATGGCACATACTGCAATTAGTTATATAAAATCAAAAGGACAGACTAGGTAATTACGCCGACCATATTTACCGTGAGAATGAAGGGATGTCTTGACCTGTTTCTTCTTTCTGAAACCAAGGAATCAAGGGAGTTTCCTGGAAAAGGGGGCCTTCTTCTGGCTTTCGCGTTTTCAAAGGAGAGTACTCAAGCGCGAAATTACCATTCTGCCCCTCTGCAACTTCTGGTTTTCTAGGGCTAGATAAAATTAGGGTTTTCTAGGGCTAGATAAAATTAAGGCATGGATTGGGGCAACGTAACGGCAGAGGATCTGGCCGATGCCCTTCGTGAAGTGGATTGGTCATCTCCTCCTCGACCTGTTTCAGAATTCTTTTCTAGGTTTACGATTCCCAGATCTTATGCTAAGTGGAACTCTCGCCTTAAATGCAATCTCTACTAGTAAGTATGGATTTTGAAATTGCTGTACTTTTTAGTAAGTATGGATTTTCAAATTGTTGTACTTTTTTTTTGTAAGTTTATGGTGCTTTTTATTTATTGCTTTGTGTTGGTGTAATTTGACATTTTTTGTTGATTTTTCTCTTTCGGATTGATTGTTGTTGGATGATTTTGAGTTTTATTTTTTTGGAGTTATTATGGTTGATTTTTTCTCGCTTTTGGTGTACTGGGTTTTTTGGGTGATATTTGCTATCTATTGATGTACGTTTCCCTTGTTTTTGCTGACTTTTATTTTTAGATCAATACTGTTTATTTTGGTTTTCTCTTTTGAAATCCCTGATCAATTATAGCTTTTCTTTTTAACTGTTGCTATAGTTTTTCCGTCTTTTTTTGTTGGATTTCTTATGAGTGAAGAAGTGATTAAGAAGCTCAATTCCATTTCCTCATATCAAACACAGAGTTGGAAATGCTCGCCACACTCCTATGGGATATGCCCCAAACCCTAGACTCCCATGTTCTTCATTTTTTATTTTATTTTATTTATTCTTTGTATCCATTTCTTTTCTCTTTCTATTAATTCCTTATATCAGATAATTTGGAAAGGGTTTAGTCTCAATTATATCTGTCGTTGTTCTTGTTAAAAGCAATTGGGTATTTCAATGCAGATGTGTGTTTTTTTTTTTTTAGTGATGCTGGTTTCAATTATGTTACTGCAAATATTTATTTTGGAGGGTTTATATGTTGCAGCAACTAACAATCCTGAAAGCTATTTCATATGTTTCCATTTTGCAGCTACCGGACCAACTATTTCATTATGGTAATTTTCATTCTCGGTAAGCCGTTGTTGCCATGTAGTTTTCCTCGTGGTCCACACCTCCTCTCTCTCTAACTCTCTCTCTCTCTCTCTCTCTCTCTCTGTTATATGAGCGAGGTGTTGACTGAAATTACTGTTTTTTCTGTTTATTTAATATTAGGTTTGGGCTTCCTGCGAAAACCACTCGCTATTGTGGCTGCTCTGTTGACGGGGTTAAGCATCGCTTTCTTGAATGATAGGTATGTTTTTCTGCCCTTTGCCTATCTGGATCTTCTTATGCGTATTACAACTAGTAACTTGTCAACTTGTGCCATTTTGGAGATATAGATTTTTTTTGTCATGTTTTAAGAAACAAGGAGTTCCTTATCATCAAAAAATAGTGATAATATTTTTTGATAATAATAAAAGATGAACAACTTGGTTTATTTGTCTGATAAGTTATTTTTGGCTGGATCCTTTGATGGTCTAGGCTGGTTGCTTTGATGTGTTTCTTTTCCTTGTGGGCGTGGTGATTGCTTTTCATTATGCTTAACAACATAAGTAGTTTGACGGTGACTTCTTGTGGCATTTGCTATTGCTTCTTTACTTGGAGATAGAAATTGTTAGTTTTACAACTCTTACGTTTACGGTTGAGGTGTATCTGGTAGGCCATCAGTAGAAAGATTCAATCGACCAAACACAATCGACATCTATTGAATTTGGAGGTTGTTTGTAACTTTTTATGTCCTGGGCTTGGAAAACAAGGAAATGAATTGGCATGGAAGAAAATATTGGGTGTTTAGAGGGGCATAAAAAATGAAGATCGGCATGGTAGAAGTTTTAGAAATATTTTGAATGAGGCGTGATGGCTGCATTCCATTCCCAAACTGGTATGAAAGTTTCCTTTTCTTTTTTAGGTATTGAGTTTGGGTTGGGGGATGGCATGAGTTCACAACCATAATTTGATATAATTTGAACTTGGCTGTCGCCGTTCTATTCCATTCCCATCTTACTGGCTGCTATGGTTCGATCCTGACAAGGTTGGTGTGTACCATGACAGGGGATGTACATTTTTAGGTATATAGAAATAGAAAACTAATTTGAATCAACAGTTTCTGGAGTAGGTTTGGCTAAATTTTGTAGCTATTGCTAGGTTTGGTGTTTCTCATGTGGATTCATGTCATGTGACATTCACTTGTGCCAATGTTTTAAATCACCGACTCAGTGATCTCTAGGCAGGTTGACTTGGCTGGGTCTTGTTGAAATTCAGCTGAGTGTATTGAAATAAAGCATTAAAAGTAATGGAAACTGTCAGGCTTGGGAGAGCTGCATAGTATTGGCACTATTGCCACGGGACTAGCCAAGGTCCTGAAGTTGATTTGGGAGAGTCCTGAGTCAACTCACTTAGTTTTGAAAATCTGGCTTCTACATTTATGTGGCTTGAAGCTTCAGTTTGAATTGGTTTTACCCTGGTAACCTTGTAGATTTTTTAATCCTTTCAAAGTGCTCTTGCTGCGAGCTCTCTTTTCATCAATGAGTTATTGCTCTGACATACTGTGATACTGATGTACTGAAAACTATTAATAACACACATGTTGAAGGTTCGTGTGAAGTTAAATTATTGTTTGTTTCTTGCAATTGAATCAACAAATGTGTACACACATATTGAAGGTTCATGTGAAGTTCAATTATTGTTTGTTTCTTGCAATTGATTCAACAAATGTGTATTTGAATTTTAGAATAGCTACTCTATAAAGGGTGCAGTTAGCATACGGAT